AAAATGATGTGAAGTGTGACAGACAGCTCAAAATTCCTTTATCTGGCCACACTGCTCCATTTATAAAGCTTTATATGTGAGCTGGTGTGCAGGTTTTTGCCCCTTAATCCCCTGAGGATTGCTCCCTCATCCTGGGACAGTCTGTTCTCTGTCTGTAAGGCCCTACAGTCACAGTCACAGTGGTCCAAGTCAGACTAACAGCACCATTTCCCTTCTGGCACAGATTGGGCAGATTGGGCAATGGAAAATAATGAGACATATGCCCTGGCAAGTGAATCTTGTTCCTGTTGCCTCCTCTTTTTTTTTTTTTTTTTTTTTTTTTTTTTTTTTTTTTTTTTTTTCCGATACTTGCCCTTGGGTAACAGCATGCCTGGTAGTTACTGCTGATTTATTAAGCTCTGGGACAAATCCACTGCTGACCACGGAAGGTTGCCCAGGTTCTCCTCCTTACATGCAGGAAAAGCCTTTCCTGTCGAAGGAGTGCGGGTAAACGTGTCTGTGATGGATTGTGAAAACTGATGTCCAATAGACCTTTGAAACATTTTACCACGAGCCATTTCATTAAAAGGCTCTGGGGAGGGCTGGCATCAGGCAGCAGTGTGTTACAGGTGACTTTTCCTTCTGCAGGTTTGTAGGAGTGAATGTTACACTTTATCAACATGTGGCAAATGAGCAGAAAAAATGAATTACTGAATTTTTCAGTCCCCTGTAGGAAGCAACCTTCCACACCAATTATTTTGGATGAGTGATAATGATAACGATAATCATTTGCTAATGCCTGTGCACTAAAAGAGCATTCAGCAAATGGTTTCAATCCACACCTACCAATGCTTCTGTATTTGTGAATATTACCTTACTTTAAAGAAACATTTATCGTTACTAAGTTGATATTTATTTAATATAGTTCAACAAGCTTCACATATTTTGCCTATAAACTATTTGAATTTCTGCATACTGTGAGAACTACCTGCTTTAATATTCTACAGTGCCGTTGTTCTTCCTTTTTTTTTTTCTTTTTTAAATCTCAGAATTATTAATCTCCATGAATTCTTATTGTTAGCCTAAGATTTCAGCAATAGTTAAACTGATATTTGGAGGAAAGAAAATCTACCATTTATCCCCAGTCCAATTAGCTGATAATAACAGTGAAGTAAGTGTCAAAAATATAAAAACATTTTGTTCTGAAATTGTAACTATATCCAAGGTCGTTTAGACAAAATCTAGCTTGGTTGCTTCTATTGAAACTTCACGGAAACATGACAAAGACTCACCAGTTCAAAGAAGCAGGTGGGATGGGTGACAGGGGAAGGGAAGGGAAGGGAAGGGAAGGGAAGGAAGGGAAGGGAAGGGAAGGGAAGGGAAGGGAAGGGAAGGGAAGGGAAGGGAAGGGAAGGGAAGGGAAGGGAAGGGAAGGGAAGGGAAGGAAGGGAAGGGAAGGGAAGGGAAGGGAAGGGAAGGGAAGGGAAGGGAAGGGAAGGGAAGGGAAGGGAAGGGAAGGAGGGAAGGGAAGGAAGGGACCACCAGATGGAATGTATAAGTAATCTTTAGAGAAGAAAGGAAACAATTAATCGTTCTGCCCCTGAGACCCTCTTCCTGATCTCCCTGGCGCCGTGATCGTCCAGCTCCGACGTCAAAGGGGAGCGGGGAGCAGCCGTGTGGGGAGACTGAGGAGCAAAGCAGCTTCTACCGTGCAAAACCCGGCATTTAGGCAGAGGTTTGGGAAGGCAGACGGCGACCTGCAGGGGGGCGGGGGCTCGGGGGCGGTGGCTTCTTCCCGCTGCACCGCCGCCTCCTCCGGATCCCCCGGGTCCCCCAGGCGGCCTGTGCTGTGCTGACAGCGGCCCTGGCTGCCCGGGAACCCAGTGGAGCCCCCCACAGGCTCTTTGGCCCGGCCCGGCCCTGGCATAGGCAGGGCCTCCCGCCGCCCCTGGGTGGCGGTGTTACCCCGTGGGACGCGGTCCCGCACCCGTCCTGCTCCGCGCCCCCGGGGGGCTCGTCCCTTCCTGGCGGGGTGTCGGGGGGATGGGGGCACGTCGTCTAACACCGGGAAAAAAAGGGGGGAGAGGTACCGGGGAGGCAAGAGGAGGGTGAGCATCGTCAGTGACCCCGGGGGGATGTCTGGATTAAGTTACGGGGCTGGAGAAATGGTTTTACAAGGGGAAAATATGGCTTCATCATCTCACTTAAAAAAAAAAAAAAAAAAAAAAAAAAAAAGGTCTGGGAGGAAAAATAAAGGATATTTAAACAGAAAGAACGGGGAGGAATAACTCAGAGTTTTAAAAAGACGAATTATAAACAGCTAAGAGTTAGGAATAAGGGAGCAGAAGTGGTGGGGAGGATGGCTGGGGATGGGTGGGTGCAAAAAGAAGTCGAGCTGCAGCGACAGTCAGCGGCGGAGTAGGACGGGATCGCCGGCCTCTGTGTCACTCCGGGGTGGCACCAGGGGCCCCAGATGAGGCCGCTCTCTCTTCCCCTCAGCTTCTGCTTCCCTCGCCCGGAGACCCGCTGGACATCCTTGAGTGCTGCCCCAAGCAGAGCCAGTTTGGGGGAGCGGGGTCGCTATGGGAGGCATCCGATGATGACCTCCAGTTTCACACTGTGTCACTTCAACCACGACAGCCTGTCTGGGCTTTAAAAAATCCTTTGTTCTCTCCATCAGGATAGATGAAGTTCTGTGTTCAGTCTCTTTTGCTTGCTTGTCACTGCCTGCTTGCCTTTCAGCCCTCACTGGTGTGCGTTTAGCTGTTTCTCTTGAAGAGATGCCTAGAGCTATCAGTGTTTATTGTTACTACATGTATATGTACGCTTGTGTGCAAGTGGGCATAGGTGCACAGGTTTATCCATATCTCTATAATTTACCGCAGCCCACAAGCGTGTATTGAGTGCTATTTAGACATGCGTATGCATGCAGATATATGCCTCCGGACAGACACACTTTGTGTAGTAGACTGGAATAGGTCACAGAATGCAGGAATAAACTGAACAGCTCTGAAATGTGTGAGAAAAAAAGAAAGAAAGGAAAGGAAAGGAAAGGAAAGGAAAGGAAAGGAAAGGAAAGGAAAGGAAAGGAAAGGAAAGGAAAGGAAAGGAAAGGAAAGGAAAGGAAAGGAAAGGAAAGGAAAGGAAAGGAAAGGAAAGGAAAGGAAGGAAGGAAGGAAGGAAGGAAGGAAGGAAGGAAGGAAGGAAGGAAGGAAGGAAGGAAGGAAGGAAGGAAGGAAGGAAGGAAGGAAGGAAGGAAAGGAAAGAAAGAAAGAAAGAAAGAAAGAAAGAAAGAAAGAAAGAAAGAAAGAAAGAAAGAAAGAAAGAGAAAAAGAGAAAAGCCTTGCTTGACTGTGTCTGAACACAGTAATTTCACGAAGAGCAGTTAACTTAATATCCCAAACTTATGCTAAAATCCAACTATATCCGTTTTTTAAAGGACGGGGAATGTTTACTTGCTTCGGAAAATGAAATCAAATTTACTGACAGGCGTTTTTAAGTGCACAGCAGGGTTGAACGGCCAAAGAGAAATAGCCTGAACACACACACACTACGTTTTAGGATACAGAGCTATAAGCAACCTGGGATTAACGCCTGCCTCTTTATGATTAAAAAGGAAAATAATAATAATAAATTAACAATATATTTCGGGAAGCCAATATATTACAAATGCAGCCTTACCATACTAGAGGAAATTAAAAAAAATAATGCTGCAGCTTGAGACGAGTCTTTTAGTTCCCTTTTGGGATACATTTTATGTGTTTTCCCAAACACTCAGGCTTAGGGACATGCCTACCGAAACATAAATACGCACAGAACACGCACACGCACATACGCATGGACAGATAAGATATGTATTAGATTCTGACACATACAGGGTGGGGGGAAGAGCAGGAGAGAGAGAGAGGGAGAGAGAGAGAGAGAGAGAGAGAGAGATCCTCCTACCTGGAGCCATAGATTGCAAGATACGTAGTGTTACCTGGGGAAGTCAGAACAAGTAAAAACACATTGAACTTCAGGGCTCTATGAGGCAGTTGATCAAGATCAGTGCTTGCTCATTTTCTTCCTCAGACTGTCTGTCTTGGGTTTTTGTTTTACCGTTTTGAACAGCTCTTTCTATTTCCTCCCTCTTTAGCTTTACTATCGGAGCCGGCTTTGGTCACCATGGCTCTGGGAAGAGCTGATTATCTGCACGTTGTTGATTTTTTGCAGTTTGGCCGGCTTTGCTTTGGGGCAGCTTCAGAAATGCTCTTGACTGGGATTTAATCGACAAGATCAGTTCGACTTTTTGTGCAGTTTTTATGGCTCAGTCCATTCCCTAGATCATGCACAGAAACTTTCGCAAGTGGATTTTCTACGTGTTTCTATGCTTTGGAGTCATCTATGTCAAACTAGGGTAAGTCCTTTTGCACCACAAACCTTGTCTTTTGGGTCACGTTAGCACGGAGCAAGCGCAGCCGAAAGAAGAGAAGCGACCGAGCGACAAAAGGACGGGAAGCGATCGTGTCTCGCCGCCGGGACCCCGGGGCAGGGTCGCGGTGCGGGGCCCGGTGGCGGCGGGGTCGCTCCGGTGTCGCGGAGCCTGGAGGGAGCCGCTCACCGGGGAACGCCAGATCCTCGTGTTTTGCACCGCTCTGCCGGGCTTCGGTATTAGCTCTGGCTCACGGTACCCTCGGAGCCAAAAAAAAAAAAAAAAAAAAAAAAAAAAAAAGCCTGACAGAGTTAACTCAGCCGCTGCTGATGAGACAATAGAGCGGAGCTTAAGTATTAAAAAGGAGAAAGGGGCGGGAGGAGGGGATTTGTTTTATGCAGGCCTAGACACAATTTGCGCTCCTAACCATCACGCCGACGTGGTGAAATTAACTTGACAACTGCTCCGGCTGCCTCCGCATCCCGGCGGCCGGCCGGACTGGGATGGGGGCGGGGGGGGGAGGGGGGGAGGGCGCCGGCAGGGGCGTCTCGGAGGAACCGGGGGGGACCGGAGGACCGGGGGGGCCCGGCCAGCGCTGCCGGGGATCTCGGCGGTGTCTCCGCGTTGCTGGATGGCAGCTGCCGATTCGGCTCTGTGATTTCAGTCGCTAGGTTTCTCCCTCTGCCTCTCCCCCTTTACCTGGGTGCCCTTATTAATATTGCTCGTCGCAGTAGGCTGACTTGAGTTGAATTTCCACATTCCTGAGCCCCAGCCGAGTCCTTACCTGTCGAGCTACAACCTCTTTAAAGATCCTGTCTTTGCATAGCTGTGGGATTTTTTTTTTTTTTTTAATGATCAAGAATGCATAAGGTGAGTTGCAGTCCGAAAACGCTTGCTTCCCGCCTTGAAACCAACACGGGAAAGAAGGGGCAGCTCGCGCGCGTGTGTGTGTGTGTGTGTGAAGGGGGAGCACGTCCCCGGGGAGTCAGGCCAGAAGCACGGAAAGGGCCGGCAGGGACAAGCACGGAGCCGGCCGCCAGGACCCTCCGGGGTCGCGCAAAGCTGTCGCCCGCTGCCACCCCCCGTCCCCTCCTCGGCCACCCCCCCCCCCCCCCCGAGCAAAACGGGCGGCGGCGGGGAGGAGGGGGCCGGCGGGGCAAAAGAGAGGCGGTCTGCAGCGGGGGGAGCGCGGGAGCCGGTTGCACGATTTGGGATGGGGGTGGGGGGCCGCTGAACCAGGCTGCAAACGGGATCAGAAGGAAAGCGGTGCCCCCGCCGCCCGCTGCTCCTGCCCGCTCCCTCCCGGCCTGGCCCTGCCCAGAGGGTCCCCAGCAGGTTGCATTCACCTTCGCTCGCCCATCTGGCTAGCCACCTAATTCGTGGCCCGGGCAGTGCGGCAGGGCTCCCAGCCAGCCCTCACGGCTGCAGGTGCCCCGGAGGGGCCCCCCGCGGAGCCTCGGGGGTGCGGGCCGGGCGGGGTACCTGCACCGCCGTCCTCCTGATCCTTCTAAATCCACCCAGACGGGGCGCCCCGTCTGCCCCGGTAGCTGACCGGTAGATTCGGTGCAAAGGCGTCCCTCGCGGAGGGGCAGACGAGCTGAAAGAAAAGGGTTTGCAGAAGGAGGGGTAGTGCTAGCGCTGTTCGCTTTCACTGCGGTTTTAGTCGTAAAGGAAACAGAAGATTGGGCACGTGTTACAGTCTGGAAGGCAGATTTCTTTTCGAAATTGGTTGTGGCTGTTTTAGAAGGGGATTCGTGAGGGAAAAAAATCGCAAGAATGCTGTCGAACGGAGCCTGGAAATAAAATTGAGTGGAGGGCAGGAACAGTAAAAGCCCTTACATAAACCCCATCAGATCCATCACCATGCCTGTAAGGCGATGAGAATACTTCATATTCCCTGAACAATGGGAGAGAAATTTGCTCTGAGATCCAGGGCTACTTCTAGGCTAGGCATGTGGGATGCAATTATTTCCTCTTTCATCAGCCACTGGAACTACCATTTTGTTGAAACCATATCCTCTAAGCGTAATGATACCTTTCCTAGTGAACTCTGTGCGTAGCAAAGGCGGGGGGGTGGGGGGGCGATGAACTGAGATAAAACACGGTTTGCCTCCCCGTGCCTTAGGTTTAGTTTGCAGGGTGAAGGAGAGATGGAGGTAGCAAAGAGCTTGGCTCATGAAGTTACGTTATTTGCCACCGAGCACGTGTTCTTGTCTTAATAAAACGTGATCAGAACTGGCTTTCTGGCTGGACAAGGGCGAAGGGGAGCACGAGGGGAGGGAAAACAAGACAATGCCTAGCTGCTGAGCTGCGGGGCTGCTGCTGCGGCACGGCAGGGTCCCAGCGGCGGCTTGGAGTGGAGAAGCCGCTGTCCCAGTACGGAGGAAGGAGCGAGACCCCACTCAGGTGGTCCTCCCTTCCGCCATCCCTCCCTCCATCCCTCCTCCATCACTCCCTCACACGGAATTCCCGTTCTTCCCACTTCCATTTTGCATTCCCCAGTATGCTTCTGGCCGAGTCGAGCCTTGCTCCCGCACCGGCCGGCACAGGTGAGGGGAGTGAAGCCGCGGTGACCAGCAACCCCCCTGCCCCCCGGTGCGGCGGGGGTCGCTTCTCTCCGTTGCACCGTGCAGTCCCCCTGGCTCCAAGCATCTAGCGGCGAAAACAGAGGCAATCAAACGGCGACCTCGGCTGGCAACTGGATTGAAACGGACATGTTTCCTGCGAAGATCGCAGAGCAGCCAGCTCCAGTTTAATTAATAAACGCGTCGGAAGTTCAAAATCGCAGCTGTGCCACAGATGCAAGTTGCAGCGGATGCCCTAGGGATGAATGCTGGGACCCTCTGGAAAGACGGAGCCACAGGCAGTGCTCAGATCGGGGCTCGGGGGGCAAGCTCCCCGTGTTCCCCGTCGTCTTTCCTGGACGGATAGAAGGGGGGCAGCCAGGGGGAGCGGAGAGGATGCCCGCGGGGAGGAGGCCGAGGTGCGGCTCAGGGTGTGCAGCAGGAGGGAGGCAGGAGCTGGCCCTGCCCGGGGAGCAACGGAAAGCTTGACCCGGTGGCTCCTGCCCCAAACGCCAACGAAATCCCGCTCCCCTCTGAGCCTCCCCGCCCCTGGGCGCAGCCTCGACGGCGGCCACCATGAGGGAGGCAGCACCGGAAGTCCCGGAGAGGTCTCGGGAGGAGACGAGAGGGCTTCAAACGTGGCCCCCGGCCCCTCTCCCCGATGCCTTTGGCTATGCTGCCACAGCCAGCCCGCCGTCGGGGCGCGTCAAGGGACTCATCTTTGACCCCCTTCTTTTCCCCTGCAATAGACTTGCAGCTCTGTGAAGTACAAGAAATACCTGGTTCCGACCTGAAAGAAGTCCAGTGCGTTGCCTGCTGGACGTGCGATCAAAGCTCTTTCCGTCTTCCGACGTGCTCTTCTGCCGGACACTGCAGGTTTTGGTGTAAGATAGAAACCGCAGCTGGGAATACATAAAAGGAAGAAAAGGGAAATACTTTATTCATGCCTGCTCTGCTTCATCTGCCTTCTATCGCACCGTGCCGGCAACCATTTCGGTGCCGTCCTGCTCTTATTTTGTCCAGAAAACACATGTTTGAGGGAGAAGAAATGACAGATGCTGAAATGCCCATATTAGGGGCTACCACCAGTACCAGCTCCTAGAGTGCCACACCATTTTATATGGATTGTATTCGGCTTAAGTCGGTTTATTCGACAAAACAAGTGCACTTCTCGCTATTCCAGACTGCCATACATATAGATACAATTTGCAGAGAATTTAACGCGTTGTTGTTATCACCGGCATCATTGCTATTAATTTTCCGACGTAATAATCGGCCCGCGTTTTTAGCGAAAAGAATTATCTTCCCAAAATGAATCGGCACGATTTGGTTGATTTTATAAGACTTTCCTCCCTCTACACGACAAAGCTAGCTTCCTCCCAAAGCTGTGCAGAAGGGCAAAGCGTCTTCGTTTCGTCCGGGCTGGCTCAGCCCCTGCCAGCCTCACTTCGAAGTTTTCCAGCGTTTACTTTTCATTTTTAGAATTCACTTTCTTCCCTTCCTTCCCCCGCCAGGCACATATTTAAAAGCAAATTTTAAAATATATCTGAAGCCGAAAAAATGCTAGAAATAACCCATCAAAAATCTCTCCCCGTTCTCCCAGCTCGCGCTCAGCTCTGCTGCCCCAGCCACTTCTTAGTCTGAGAGGGGCAACGGGCATCACGGGAGATACACAGCTATATGTCTCTCTCTTTCTATATGTGTCGACAGATGCACACACACACTTAAAGAAATAAATACGACAACTTCAGAATCTTAAAGAATTACAAATAAATAAGAGGATTCTCGGATGTAAGTAATTGAGAGGCTTAAACTTATGTCCCTCATTAATCGAGAGTAGCGTCCTCCAAATGACGCTCACTGTACCAGCGCATGCATTATTCAACTTGTAGATGAAAGTCGTTAAATGAAACAAACCCCCGAGAAGACTCTTATCGGATATTCGGCGGGAAACACCGTTTTAACACCAATTCTACACTCGCGGTTCCATCTGAAGGCTTATTTCGTTGTGCCGCAGGGACAGCTGCACCCATGTGCCAGGACTGGTTAACTCGAGGAGGTGTATCCGGGGTGTCTGGGGTAGCTCTCGGCAAAGAAAGCTCCTTCGGTCGTTAGGCAATTAACCCGAGACGAACATTACAAACGCTACAGACCAAGAAGCCTTAGGAGCCCAATTCTTTTTCGCTCCGGCTGCACTTCAGCTAAACTCGCCGCGGCGCACATTTCTCTTCGGGGCTTCGTTTGGAGACCCGAAGCCCACGTCCTTCCAGCAGGCTCCCATCAGCGGGACTTTGTTTCCTTACCCGAAAACCAGATGAATCCAGGGCTCCGTAGGGCGAGGGGCTCCCGCTGGTGGCAGCAGGGTCGGGGCGAGCTGCCCCGGCCCGGGGCCCGAGGGGCACGCAGGGGAGAGGGGGCTGATCCGCCGGCAAAGCGCCTAGCCCGCCCTGCATCCTCTGGGAAAGAAGGAGGGAAGGGGAGAGGAGGCAGCTCTGCCCCCGGGGGCTGCGGAAGAGGTTCCCGGCCGGCCGGGCGCTGCGGCCCCCTCTCGCCCCCGTCCCCTCGGCTGCTGCCCACCCATCCTTTTCCCCCTTCTCTCACGCCAAAGCCAGCCCCGCCAGGAAGCTACGAGTGTGCATGTCTTTATTTCTCACTCAGGCGGGCTACGACAACGTGCATTTTTTTTTTTTTTTTTTCAGAGGTCCTCCCAAAATCGGAGCTTGATTTGCAACAGCAGGGGCAACAAGAGCCAAGAGCGCTCCGGGGCTGGAGGGGACGGCGGAGCCCTTCGGGGGAGCTGGGGCAGCCACCCATCATAAAGCAATTAACCGGGAGCTGCCGGCTCCTCCAGGACGTCTCCGAGCCAGAGCCCAAGAGCTGCCTTCCCCGAGGCACGAAGCAAGCCGCCCCAAAATGCAGCGCTTAGCGGGTGGGGACCGCTCCGAGAGCTGGGCGTACGGACAGGGCTGGCCCGGGGAGAGAGGGTGCATTGCAGTCCGGGCGACATCCGTGTCTCTCCATTGTCATCCTCTCCTTTAAAAAAAAAAAAAAAAAAAAAAGAGGGAGAGAGAGAGGGAGAGAAAAAAAGTAGGCGGATTGCAGTGACTGACTGCCCAATGGCAGCCCCGAGTCTCAGGAGAGTTGCAGAGAGAGGGAGAGAGAGAGAGAGAGAGGCACTTTCTGCCATCCAAATCCCTTAAACCATCCTCATTCCAACACGAGAACCCACTGTAACAACTTCCAACCACTGAGACATGACAGGCAGGAGCCCAGAGGCAGCAGCAGCAGCGAGAGCAGCAGCAGCAGCACATACTCTGCACAGAGAGCAGCATTAACACCAGGGGAATACTAGACACAACAATACAAACAAACAAACAAACAAACAGACAAAGCCCCCCCAAGCCCAAGGGACTGGATTCCAACTCAGATTCAAGCCACAGCTGACACCAAAAAGGGTGGGGAGTTACGACCAGGGGGGGCCAGAAAGGAATAACCAAGGAAGCGAACTCCAAGAGTGTAAACGGGATTCAGCCATGATCCTTTTTTCATCTCGCAGTGTGTTACTCTCAGTGTATTACCCTCAGATTTTCCTCATCCTTACCAGTGGGAGTTACCTGTAAGTGATCCAGATTTTTTTTTAATTGTTATTTTTTCCAAATACCGTTTGAAATGCCCCCGCTAGCTACCTAGGGGCAATGCAAGCAGAGGGAGCCGGGACAAGCCAGCCAGCCCGGGCGGCGGCAGCTCCGCGCAGAGCGTGGTGGTGAGGATGATGATTGATGATGATGGTGGTGGTGGTGGTGATGGCGGCGGAGCTGCTGGCGGTCGGGCTCCGGCAGGGGAAGGTGCACCGCCAGGTAGCTCCCGGGGCTGTCCCGGCGGGGCCGGGACCCTGCGCGCCCCTCCGCGGGGCAGTGGCACCGGGAGGGCGGCGGGCACGGGGCGCGGAGCGGAGCGGAGCCGAGCGGCGTCTCCCCGGGGCCTGCGAGCCCGACTCCTCCTCCTCCTGCCGTAGAGGAGACGGCCACGGCTCCGTGCTCGCCAGGGGAGACCCAGCCCGCAGCCCGAGGGGAGTTGAGGCCGCGCTGCGCGGAGGCGCAGGCTGGCCGGGTGATCTTGCTCAGGAGGGATCTGCAGTCCCGCAGTTAGAGCTGGCTCCAGGACCTTTTCCTTGTGAGGAAGGGGGTGGAGGTAGGGGTGGGGGAAATGAGAGTCGGTGGGTGGGACTGCAAGGAGTTTCGGGCTCGGTTTTTTAATATCTATATCTGTATCTAACTTTGCGGGGGAGAAGTAGCGTACAGGCAGCTCCGTGCGGGCTGCGGGGAGAGGCGGCCGCCGCGCTGCTGCGGGTCCCGGGCAGGTCCGGGACGCCGGCCGGGGGGTCCGGGGCTGCGGGCCAGGGGTCCCCGCACCGACTCGCCGCCGTGCCCGGGAGCCCGGCCGGGGCTGCGCTCCAGAGCCCCGAGGGGCTGCTGGAGGGGCTGCCGAGAGCCCTCAGCCGAGGCGCGCCCACGTTTTGGGGCAGCAGCGCGGACAGGAGGGCGCGGGGGGCTGGAGTAGCTGGTGTAGCGCCCGGACCCGCTCCCTCCCTTGAGCATCCCTCCGGGACCCGGCGCGGCCCTCCGTGCGGGGCGCCGGGCTCGGGGGGGACCCAGGGCTAGCTCTGAGGCGGGCAGGTCGCCGGCTGTGCCCGGGGAGTCGCCTCGGCTCCCGCCTGCGCTCGGAAGGGGCTGCTTCGGTGTCACCTCCTCAAATCCCCCCGGCTGCAGGGGCCGGGAGGATTTCTCTTCTATCCCACCCCCGCGGCGAGCACAGATCTCTGTTTCACGGCGGGTGCAAAATTGGAGCTCCTACCCCTGAGGTGCATGTGGTTTTCTTTCTTTTTCTTTCTTTCTTTCTTTCTTTCTTTCTTTCTTTCTTTCTTTCTTTCTTTCTTTCTTTCTTTCTTTCTTTCTTTCTTTCTTTCTTTCTTTCTTTCTTTCTTTCTTTCTTTCTTTCTTTCTTTCCGTCCGTCCGTCCGTCCGTCTATCCTATCCATCCATCCCTCTGACTATTTTTCTTTCTGTGCACGCAGGCGAGCAACACACATGCACATAAACTAGCACGTGTGCGTGTGTTCTTCCGTGTGCGTATTTTTTTTTTTTTTTTGTGGGCTATAGAAAAATATAGCCCACCGCTAGGCAAAAAAAAAAAAAAAAAAAAAAAAGTAGGAATAAACACAGACATAAAAAGAAACTAAACGCCTATTTCTGCATTCTTAATTCTTAATGAAATGCACATGCCTTGGCTACCGATTTTTAAAGGCGCTTGATTTATGGAGCCACGTTAGGTTTAATTCGGTGGGATGCTACTGATTAGACCAAACAGCCGGGGCTGCCTGCTTCTCTTTCCAGGCGGGACGAGTCTGCTGGTAGGTGATCCAACAGCCCGTGAAAAAATTGCAATGCCATCTTCTTTTTTCAAACAGGAGGAAGGAGTCGTGATAAATAAATAAATATACCCATTTAATATAAACGTAGCCATATTTTTCTCAAAACCGTAGGAAATTACTATCCTACAAAGTTTGCCTTCTATAAATAGTTCAAATCTTGAAACAAAAGTTTTAAACCGCACACCAGATGCTGGGATGCTAGTGGTTTCCCTTGCTGTGTGACATAATTATAAGGTCCGAAAGCAAAAGCTATAGAAGTATAATAATAATACTAAGGCGACTGCTGAGGGGAAATACAAGGGGAGCAATGCCTGCTTTATTTAGAGCGAATCGCTCGGGGATCTTTTGAGCGCTGCCCTGCGACAAAGCGAACTTGTTGCGGGGAAATAATGCTGCCTCGGTTCATCCCGCCGGCGGCAGGTCACTGGGAGCTGGACCCGCGGAGCCGGAGCCGCAGGGACTATTGCAGTCCAGCAGAGCAGAAGGGAAAGGGATCAGGAGGTGAAAGCCAACAAAGCGCAGCCCCAAACCAGCGCGGACGTCCCTCCGGCCATCCATCACCCCGCGGGGACGCAGCCGCCGCCTCCCACAGGCCCCGCTCCCCCCAGCCCCGCTTCCCCCGGGTCGCCCCATCCCCAGCCCTTCTCCCTTCATACCCTTTCCCCTCGGCCCCCCTCCCTTAGACCCCTCTCTACCCGGCCCCGATGCTAACCCCCAGCAGCCCGGAGCGAGCTGGGCACGCTGCGATGCTTCGCCTCGCTCCCGCTTGGAAGTGAAAAGAAAGAGGAGTTATTTCAGTGCTTAATGGATAGTAGCCTAGAGAACTTGCGGTGTTTATTTTGTGGGTAAATATACTCCTCAGGCTTACTAATGGTAGCTTTTGAAGATTAAAGCATAGTAGAGCCTGTTCGAGCATTATCTTCTGGTGTCTGGTTCTGCTACCCTCGCTCTCTGGAAGGGAGGATGCTTCCCAGGCTGCTATTTACTAAACTCCCATGGACTGTCAATGATTATGTTAATTGTGCCCGAGATCTCTATCATCTCTTGGCCGTGCGAGCAACAAATCGTCTTCTGAGCTGCTGGTACTCAGGGGATAAAGGCAAAATTCACGAGGGCAATTTGCAGCAGACGAGCAGAGGGAGAGCAGCGCGTCTGTGCCGCGTCTGTCCCGCTGCCTGCGAGCCGGGCACGGCACGGGTCGGCACGGCTCGCGTGTTTTGCCAGCACGGCTGTAACACACAGGCCGTCCTGGTCAAATGCAATTTTGAAAAGCGCGCAAGCAGAAAGGCACCCAAGGCCTCGGTGCTAAGCGTGCAATGTCCGGGAGAAGACACTCAGATTTAAAGAACAAACTTCTTTATAAAGTCGATTTCTGTACTGTGAGCATGCTATCTGCTAAAGCAATCTTTTCCGGCGTGCTCACCTACTAACCTCTGGCCTTCTGAGACACTGTAAACATTTTTACAACCAGAAGCAATTAGTGTCTGACTTTTCAGAAAATAAAACCGACTTCAGGTAGAGCGGCTGGTAGTAGGGTGACTGATACGTGTTAATGCACTGGACATACGCTGGTAATCCAATTACATATTTAAAGTATACAACTGACATTTAATAATATCGATGTAATTAGTATAAATGTCTTAAAACAGGATTAGATATAACACGGTTTGGCACCGTTTCTCACAGTGCGTGTTTAAGTGCACATGTGTCTGTATGCATACATGTAATTAGCTTCTGAAAAAGACGGGGCTGTTCTGGCTTTCCATTTGTGTATCGCCTTCACTGTTCATCTTCTTCAGGGCTGGGTGCATTCACTAGCAACATGAGAGTGTTCTTAATAAGCTTATTTTGGGGATTATCTGCTGGTACATAGAGTTAATTCAGTTATTTGCTAAAAAGTGATTGGGAATAACTTGTAAGAGAGTGTGTATGTACAAGGTAATAGCAGCATAAACCTTCAGAGCAGCTAAGCATTCTGACACCACAGTATAGCAAATAATTTTTATTAGCCAGTAGGTATTACTAGCAGATTATGAAATATAGGAGAAAAATACCTTTGTATGTGTTGCGTCTGTTCTGCTGATGCTGTCACATCCTTATAATTCCATTTCCTTTACAACAGGGCTTCTCCGTGCCTGTGGGAAGTGGGTTAGGAGCATGTATTTTTCTCACGCTTACAGGAAAGTACTCATGCCTAATCCCTAAAGATTAGGATTGCTGGAGATGGTCCCTGAAATTTTTCTCTTAATCTGGGCAGTGTAGGAGGGAGCTACACAAACATAGAAGAGCAAGCCCGCTCTGTGTTGCAGCTTCTTCAAGAGGAGCCCACTCTTCCCATCCCAGTGAGATCAGAGCTATGTTGACCTCTGTGATAAAACTTGTTATTGGAATGGGATTGTCTCTGGCCCAGTCACTGGACTGTGGTGTTAATCTGTTTTTTCACTGCTCTCGTGCCTTGTTCATCTTTTTGCTGAGGCTGTGTATACTTTGGGGCAAGCTCGTTCCCTCAGCCTCTATTTGTGCAGCATCCAGTGTGCAGAGAGAGTTCTGGTGGGATCCTTAGATTCTCCTGTTCCATAGAACTTCATAATACTCATTTATAAGAGGATTTGGAATAGGACTACAACTTTATTTTGCCTCCACAGATGTGTTGGCTTAGATACAGAAGAGGTGAACTCCCAAATTATATTGACTATTTTTTAGGATCACCTAAACCACCTTTTCTTTTCCTTAGGAGAAACAAGAAAAATAAAGATTTGCATGCTGTGCTGCCGTAATCACTGTAAGATTGGTTTACCTGTCTGATAGAGGTTATTTCCATCTGTTGAAGCTGCCACACAAAGACAGAAAAGTGACTGTGATATAACTTCCTAGTAGCTTTAGAAGATCAAGTCTACCATTTCTCCAAGACACCCAAACTAAAATTCCCTGTCTAAAACTATAGGACTCTGGTAAACATGCCACCCTTCTCCCTGTTTTGTCTAGGCCAAACAATGGATACCCCTGAATTTAAATGCAGATGGATGTAGCCCCCATTCTCAATAGTTTGTGGCAAGCAGGTTCTGGGGATTAGATTTCTAGCACCCTTTAAATTTTAAAAACTCATGAAAAATAATTATAAGGAAAGGTGGTAGCATCTAGAATTTGTAGAATGACAGCCTGCAATTATTACGTGTTGCATTACTAACACAATATTACCATTGGATATAAAGCATCATTAAATATGCAGATGAGCAGGTCAGGTTTAAAGAAGATATGCTAGCATATTAAAGAACAAGGCTAATCCCTCAGAAAACAATCTTTCAAAGGAGGTGTTAAAGAGCCAGACAAAGAAAGCTGCAATTATACTGCTAGACTGACAAACACATTTTATGCAATGGAAAAAATACACCATGTGGACCTGGCAATATGGCACGGTAAAGGTAGAATGGTGCCAAGTGTTTTCTTGGTGCATGCAGCTGTATAATTTGGGCTGAAATACTGTCAAAGGGATTCCCCAAAACACACCTTAATGCTGTTGTCCTCCCAGGTTGCTACAAACAGCAGGAAGCTGGGACCAGCTCTAGATCAAAGGTGTTCTGCAGACATGCTGACACCAAGCATTACAGAACTGTTGCAAGGGTGATTTCTTCAGCCCATAACCTTTGCACATCATTTAACCCACAGTGGATTCTCACCAGTGTTTTTCACATACGTTGGCAAAACACATCTACCTGCTTGCTACCTGACAGCTGGCTTTTCGCAGCTCTAGGTCATATGCTTGACTCTTCTCATTATTTTTGTTCCTCCCTCCTTAATGCTTCATTGCCGTCCTGTACAGCATTGCCCCAACCTGTCCCAGTTCAGGCACACAACTTTTATAGTATGGCAGTAGTACCTACACGGAAGAGTTGTGTGGGAACCAGCCAGGCCTCTGGCCATGAGAACCATGACCAAAATATCAGTGCATGAAAGCAAAATATCCTTGACTTCTGGAATTTTTCTGTGTATGCAGGCAAAGAGCTGAATGAGCTTGTCACTGAAAGTTGTGGATTTACAAGCCCAGAATTACTTGGGAAGCTAAGAAAGATCAGGAACTCAGGCACGCTCTGGAAGAAAAGTCAGGGAAAGAAGGTTCTTCAAGACTATCCATCAGTCCTTTAAGGATTATTAGCACCTTCTCAATCTCTTTTACTTTCCCTTCTGTCTTGCCCCAAATGTAACATTTTCCTGACATGACACATTTTCCCTCCTTTGTGGAAAAAAATGCATAGGACTTGGTAGCTGCTTCAAGATAGCTCCTATATATTTGTCCTTGCTAAAATACATGCATAAGGAGCTCTGCAAATACTTCAGCTGGTGCAAATGTGACAAAATTTTAGCTACAGAGACACAAAGGATTTTCTTAGTAGAGTTCTCTATCTACATGCGATGTATTTCTGTGACTTCTCTCTTCTGCTACTGCCTGAATGCTCTTAGGACAAACCTTTATCCAAAGCACTGAACTGCTTTTTTCCACATTTCTCTTAGGCTTTGTTTCCCCTTTAAAGACAGTTTTCTCAACAGTCTGAGGAAGCTGCAAGATAGCTATCTTTTTCAGTACTAGCAGAGTATAGACAGTTTCTGCAAAGTTAAGATAGCTATGGCCAATGTCATCGCTTTCATAAAATAAATAAATAATAATAATAATAATAAAAAATCTTTCTTCCACTAGGATTTGACAGCAAGATAATTATCACCTGTTAAATATTTTATGGCCAATCACACCTTCTTTAGAAAGTCTGATGGCAGGCTAGATTAGAGAGCTATTGCATCTTTTTCTGGAAATAATTTTAAAAGTGGATACAATTCGTACCCACGTTGTAGCTACAGTTTTGCACATCTATTTTCTTCTCATCCTATACCTGTGTATCAGATCTCCCTCATGGAAAAAAACCACAAAGGACAAAATTCACATTTATGCAAAAATCCCACTTAATCATCATTGTGACATAGTCTTTGCTCCAGCTCTTTGTCCAAAGTCAGATTTCATCCTGAGTTCCTAACTAATTAGGAAAAAGGACATCCAGTGGTATAGCAAGTGTGCAACTGTGGGCAAATCTAGCCTCAGACATTTAACACGTGGCAGAATAATTTTCCCCAGTGAAGTGGCAGCAAGTCCACTGGTACTGTGTCCCAGATTGCTTGCCTGAGGTAGAGCCACTCTGCTGCTAGGTGGACTTTACTGGCAGATTTGTGGTTTCGGTACAAAGCATAAATATAATGCTGATGATTTGCCTCTTCCTCCAGAACATACCTAGAACGCACAACAAAAGTGTTTTCTTCTGGATGGCCACCACCAGAGGTTTGTGTAGCATTTTCGAAAGCTCCTATATCTTGTCTTTTCAGCATGAAGGCCTACGGCTTCTCTCCCCTGGGGTTGCATCTGCAATCTAGTAGCTTAACAAAGCAGAAGCAGCTGTGCTGAAGCTGTGGTTCAAGTGAGAGGAGAACCAAGCCCAAAGCACGAGGCTTGTTCTCCCAGCACCCCTTCTTCTGCAGCCTTGGCACAGGCATGCAGTATTTCACAATTTGAAGGGAATGTGGCCATACTCCCCAAGAACATACAGCAAAAGCAATATTAATAGGAGGCTATTCCTCTATATCAGACAAAACCCAAAATCAGTTCTATGGACTATTGAAGGAATCATTATGGCCTCTGGTGCCAGTAAGAGCTGACATAAAAACATTATTTATTTTTTTTTTTTAGGGGAGAAGCACTTCAGAAATACTGCGGCATTTGCTTGTTGTGCGCAAGGCACTGTGGGGCAGCCCAGCTTTCAAATCTGGAAGTAAGAATAACTCATAAAGATATAAACCACTGTCTGCCTGCAAGTAGGACCTGGAAAACAATTTGAGGTGTATTTAATTTAAAACTATTTAAGTGTGGCTGTTCTGGGCCTGGATATCATATCCACCCTCCTAATCTGGCTGAAGTGAGACATAATTATAAAACGTGACTACTATTTAGTAATAGTTGCTTTCATACAAGGGTTGTAAGTGAATTAATCCTCCCAGTACTCAAGTGAACTGGGCAAGGATCATTTCACTCACAGCTGGGGCAGAACGTGGCAGCTGCCAGGCAGCACATGTCAGAACTGTGAGCACATGGGGGCCAGCACTATTCCTAACATCCCCCACAGCAATGCAGGAAAGCATCTGCAAAAGCCCAAGTGCATCTCTAATTGACCTAGACCCTGGCCAGGGCAGTGGGGTAGCCCCGCTAAAGATGAGGCTTTTCTGTGGTGGGATTTGCTCTGTGGTGATAATAGAGGAGGTCTGAGACTGGAGGAAAACCTCAGATGCTGAATGGCCTGACTTCTGTCAGTTTCTGCCTCAGTTTCTCATAGCTTTAACAGGGCAATGACAGTGCTGGCATGGCATGGAGGGAGGGGAGGAAAGCAAAAGCTGCCACAGCACTTTGGAAATGGAAAATGCAGTGTAAGTGCCATGTCATTACTTTCAGTGACTCTTCTCTGACTGCAAAGAGGAGAGTCAGCGTGACCGTGTCTCCTCAGAAAGATGGCATCGCGCTCACCTGCTTCACCACCATGTCCAGTGTGGCCACTTCCCAGGGTCAAGAGCATCACTTCCGACTGTTTTTCCCCATCCTGGGAGGCTGGCCAGACACCCATGGGCACAGCCAAGCAAGGCTTGGCCACAGAGAGCTGCTGGGCACGAGGCGGTGGCTGGTGGCAGCCTGGGCAGCAGGCAGGACATGGTTAAGGGAGCTCTAGGGGGAATGGCAGCATCTCTCATGACTCTTTTGGCTGCTGGCCAGGAAGCCATGTGACTCGTTGGTTAAAAGAGTCCTCTCAACCATGAGACACTTTTTTTCCCCCCTCTGGTTGTACCTTTTCTTTTCTGAAGTTAAAACAAAACGTACCCACAAAACTTTCCACATTAAAGTTGTACTGTAGTCTGATGACTCAGGGTGAGAAATTCAAGGGGAATGAAGAGCAAGTAACATTTCTGAATCAGATCTGTTGTGCTGAGCCTTAAAGGAAAGGAGGATTTTGCTGGATGGAGAAGAGCACTTCTGTAAAGCACAGTGAGCAAGAAGCAGAAAATAGGACTTACATCGATTCCCTGCTGCTGTGGGCTACAGCTAAATCAGTTGGAGTAGCTTCATATACAGTGGACTTTGATGCTATCAAAAGGGCCAAGGGTGAGGGTGAAAATACATAAGGCTTCATCTGATTCACAGTAAATTCATTTTTCTCCACTCCCATGGCTTTAAGGGGTACAGAATTTAGCTTTACAGTTTTTGGTTGTTTTCCTTTATTGGCAACTGTCCTCACAGTATCTGAGCACCGCCCACAACTATTAGATTGGCACATCCCTCCTAGACTTCCTGGAGTCTTTTGTTCTTCTCCTTTCTATGTCCCTAGGGAGGTCTGCCCAGGGTAGGTGCTTCTGAGGGCTGGGATGGGGTCAGGTTATTGTTGTCAATGTCACTCTGGTTATGTTGTAAAAGATATATCAAAGAGGAAGCTTTTGCACTGTGACCCAAAGGTCATTACACTCTGGATTAGTCTAATCTCTGAAGGTTTGTTCCCCAGACAGATCCTTTCGACTGAGAGTAACTTACCTCTGGGCTCAGAGATTTGTCTTGAATTTTATGATCTTCGTTGTTTCACAGGAGCTCAATAGGCCTGGCAGAGCCCAAAGTTTGGTCAGTCTTCTGTTGCTGGGCCATAATCCACTAATTGCTGTAGGGGTTAGGCTTTACACCTTGAACTGGGGATGAAAGAGAACAGGAGGGATGAGAAAGACATGCATGCAAAGACAATATGCAGAGCACAACCTCCCCTGGTCATACTTTGAAGTCGATATGCTGTTTTCATGGTCAGAACATGTTGGAAGTCATAACGCGTGTGTCTCTCTTCGGCTTTGTCTTCTTCTAGGAGAAAAGGGCAAAACGTTTTGAAACCCCCTAGCAGGGAGCTTACCCATCTCTTTTGGTCTTATGTAGGCCACACCGTGTGGCTGGAAAGCAGCAAGTTCAGGGCTGTCCATTAACCAGTAACACAATACAACCCATGCTAAGGATGTGAGTGGGTGCAGGGCAGACTTTAAAAACAACACCTTACTCCTTTGTAGACCCAAAACACAGAAGTACTTCTGAGCAGAACCAATCCATCATCTCAGTGTAAATACTCAATTTATGAGAATGGACTGGGACGAGCACTTATGCCTGCTGCCCCATCTGCTCTTTTTTTCTCCTTCCCCTAGCCCGGTGTGCTAATGCCTGCTTCTCAGCAACAAGACTTGGCAGGTGGTACCTGATGAGATAATTGTGCCCCAGGGGCAGAAGGAGGCATAAGGTGCAGCCAGGTGCTCCTAATCTGTCCATGGGTGTGATTTTCTGTGGTAACCACACCCTCAAGTGTTGTCTTACTGCAATTAGGAAATTTGTTTAGTTTAGGTCAAGTACTTTTATGAAGGTGCTCTTCACATCTAGTATGTGTTGGCATGGCAGGAGTGTGTAGATGTCCAGGATCAGGTGCTGTGCTGAGTGGTATCCCTGCCACTATGAGCTCATACTTCTCGTCACTTTGTGCTTATTTCCAATCCTCGACCTTCCCTTTCTGCTTCAGGTGCAAATAAAAACAAATGGAAATGCTTCCCCGGGGACTAGGCACAAGTTATATCACAGGCAAGGACCCTTTTAAGAATTCACCACTTTTCCTTTCTGGAGTTTCCATTTTACAGAAAGGGCGTTGAAAGCCAAAATATATGAGGGCTGTACTGCAACAAAGATCAAATGGCAGCTCCTTCCAGAAGGTAGCAAATGCTTTGCTTTTGCAGGCTGACTTGCATTTCAGTCATGCTGCAGGCAGGTATGGCAGCTAGGTTCTAAATCAGTCAGGTTATGAAGAATACCTGACAGGTACACATCTTTCTACTGTTTTATTAAAGACTTGGTGTAATAACATCTGACAGGCAATAAGGTTCTCTGGCTGCCACCGAGGTGAACAGGAAAGGGAGGCCTAATGCTGCTCGCAGCATTTGTTCCCTATGTCTTTACTTGGGCCGAACTGCCGTTGCTTGCCACAAACTACACTGTGGTTCCTGTTCCAGCCTTGCCTGCTTAGGCTGCAGGAAAGGAAGAAGTCTCCATGCCTTCACGCAGGGAAGTGCGTGCAAAATTTTTCCTGTTTGCCCTTCATGTAAGCTTAAATTTTGGTTCCATCTAAACTTTGCCTGAGTTACTACAGGATTTATCTCACAGTATTTTGTTAGGACAGTGCTGTTTATTGTAAAGATGTAGCAAAAAACATCAACTCAGAAGAAGATCTCATATGCTGGGTAAGGGTAAATCAGGGGCCTGGTATATTTTACCTCTCTGAAAGTGGAAAACACTTTCCGTGCTAACAAAAGTCTCGTTTGCTTTTCTTCATATTGCACAGATTATTTTTTTTATTTTTTATTTTTTTGAGGTTTATCAGATCTTTGCTTACATGATAGTTGCTATTGTATACCCAATTAGAAATCAGCATTAGCTTGCTGACAGTAGCTGGCATGGTTTGAGTTCCCCTTAAGACATCTTGTGAGATAATTAAAGCGATGACTGACAACATAGCATAGCAAAAGTAATGTTTCTCAAAATGACGCCACTTCCAGGTTGCTTGTACACATTCTGTTAAATGCAACCCCATTATATCTACCCTTGTTAATGAATTCCCTGAAAATTAGACTGCCCTCCCCCCCCCCCTTTTTTTTTGAGAGCTAATCCTGTAAGTCTCTCAATTTCTGACTCCTTTCATGTTTAAATGTATGCCCAAGAATAGTGTTTACAAAGGGTGCCTGAATCAGAGCCCTGGAAAATGAATTCCTCTCCTTACCCACAAAACCAGTACAGCACAAGCAGAGGGTGTGTGAGCTTCCCCACTCCACCCCATCCTTGTGTCTCATCCATGACCTAGAGGGGCAACCTCTAGCTAGGCATAAGCGGGTGGCTCAGTCTCTGTACTTATTTAATCCTTGGCCAACCTGCTAAGGCTGCCAATAAGGGTGCCAATTGTGGTGGTGGTTTCTGTGATGTGGATAGTTGTCCACTGGGAACTGGATTAAGACCATCAACTCATTTCAAATACTCTAGGCCACAAAGCATCTGCCAAACAGTAACCATTTTTTTTGGTCACTACTGACTTGGGTCATGTTTGGATCAGTGATGAAAGGCTCCATATCCCAGTACCAATCCTCTGAGCAATACAGTTTCCCGGAATAATTTTTTTAAAGAAGGAAAACATTATTTATTGTCCTAAATTCTCCTTTGATCTGCCGTTTTTAGTGTGCATAATGGCTCTTTAAGGTGCCTAATTTTAATTGCCTCACTGTAGAGGATTCAGAGACTGGGAGAAGTTTTGGAAGATGGCAGGTAGCAGATCATGGGGTGTGATCCAGTGAGCCCTCAGGAAGAATGGATACACACCCCAGCACCTCAGCTGGCATTGCATTTGGACCTAAAACTTATACCTTCTTAAAACTTATCTTATACATACTTCTTACAGTCTCTCAGTAGGGAAACTACCATTAAATTGAAGATCACATTGCTTTTGTGTTTGCTCTTGTTCTTTCTAATATATCTAGATATCTATATCAGATAAATGCAGCCAACCAGCTTTTCTGGTAGCTCTTCCAGAAGCTGATTATATTGTCAGATATCTTTGTTACCACAGTCTCTGAACCCTCCACAACCTTTTGTATATGCCTGTTAACATATAATTTTTTTGGGAAATGCCCTATTTCACATGTATTGAACTGAAGGATGCAGGGACTAAATAATTTCACTCAAACCACACAGTCCAGCAGGGTGAGGAAATGAAAGGGAACTTTCCTGATCTCAGTGTAGACCCCAAACCATTAACAGTTCTTCTCTTCAGCATACCTGAAAGTGGAGCTAGGGTCTGCTGAAATTCATAGTGTAGTTGGCAATTAATAATATTGCCTTCAGTAGCTTTGTGTGTTGTGCAGAAAGGACCCCATCTCAGAAAATGCCTGGGTAGGAAGCATGTTGTCAGTATGCTGAAGGAATGTCATTGTGGCTTTTCTTGGATAGTACAAAGCTGTGCAATATTCCCTATTCCCACCAGTTCTCCCTTGAACTGAGCAAAATACTGAGAGGTTACTTTTATCCTACCTTCCTTCCTTCCTTCCTCCCTCCCTCCCTTCCTTGTAAATTCCTTGGGGTAATTTACATTTGTGCTACTATGAAGACACCTTGCTTGCATTAGTTCCTTAGAACAATGACAAATCTACCTTCTTATTCTCCGTTACACCTGGAAATGACGCATGTTATGATATCAAGAAAGTGGCTGTTAAGACAGAAAATTCTCGGCAGATCTATTACAGAAATCGATGGTCAGATGCAACAGATATGGGTAAACAACAATGATATTGAATTAATTGTGAGGCTGTGATAGTATCTGCTTTCTATCACACAAGCAAAGTGTCAGGATCATCATATCAGTAGATATCTCATGGAGGTTTATTGATATTAGGCTGCAAAACAGATATACTGGATTTCCTTATATTTTGTTTAAAATAATAAACAAAAAATATGTTATCCCATGTATCCTTTCAGTGTGAAAAGTTGTTTCTATTAAGAGAAATAGAAGAAAATGGAAAAAGCAGGGAAATTATTGTGTTTGTAAGACTATATGCAGAGATATAGATATATATAGAATTCATAATTCTTTAGTTCTTAAAAAATAAATGTATCACTATAAAGCTTTCTTTTTTTTCTCTCTTTCTCTCTTTTTTTTTTTTTTAATTTAAAGTTTCTTGGCTTATTTGAAGTCCTTTTATCTTGAGTTTCTATTTCCAGAGTAGAAGTTTCCTTTTTAATAGCAGCTGAGGCTTAAATCAAGAAAACATGGAAAAAAATTAAGTATACTGGCTTAAGAGAACTTGTAGTTACATGCATATGTTTAAGTAGACCATGACCTAAACCTAGAAAACATGGGACATACACAGGGCCTACCACCCTCCTATGGTCCCAGAATACAAAGGGATTTCAACACAATTAACTCTTTCCTAAATCAGGTTATTAAGTTGAGGGATAGCTCTCAATTTTACTTTCTTATTAGTATCTAACACACAAAAAGTGAGCTGAAAACATAAAGTGCCAGTGAAATCTCAGGTTGGGGCATGACTCAGGTTTTTCCTTTCAGCCTGATGGCTGTGTACAAGGGCTAGACTTGCTGCCTCAGGAGCTTCAGGACATAAGGTGGGGGAGAGTGAGGGGTAGCAAGGGAGGGACAGCAAGGACAGGGGCTGCATATACCCCATGGAAGAGAGAACGGAGAGATATAGGGGGTGGAAAACCCAACAGGAGGGAGAATGAGTGAACTGGGAAGAGAAAAGGGGAAGGAAGCAGCAGAAAGGAAGAAAATCAGAGGTCAGGAAAGCATGAAAAACAGAAGAGATGGAGCTGGAGGGTGAAGCAGACTTTAGGATCATTGCCAGAGGAAGAGTTCTTGGGAGGTTCAGCACTTAGCTGAATCATGGTTTAACCTTTCTTGTTGATCAAACCTCCATCAGCTGATAATAAATGTAACCACCTGAGAGCACATTTTTTGCAACTCAACATGAGGACCAGAGCTGGGAGAGGAGAATAGTCTGGAACCGGGAGGTAAGTGTGGAGTTAGGAGATGTGATCAGAAAGCAGGAGCAAAGCAGCACAGGAAACCACTCTCAGGCAAGTGACACTCTACTGTGCCTCTGACGCTTAGTTGTCCCCCATAGAGGATGTGACTCAACATCACTGGTCAGGAAGAGACAACAAAGAATAGAGCAGGAGATGTTGATGGCTAATTTCAGCAGGCAAAGGATGATCCCCCTTTTGAGGAGAGGGTAGGGGGAGAGATGCAGGAGAGGGCATGTAAAAGGAGTAAGAAACAAAGCAGAGTTTACATCAATAAGAGAATTTGGCTTTGGAAGAAGATTTTCTGCATGGCTGCTCCACATAAATTGTGTTTAGCTCTACAGATTTTGGGATTTCTGACAAGGCTCTTGAATGTAAACTCCTAAGGACAATTTTACCATTTAGCATCCAAATATGCTGTCATCCACTGAACCTAAAGCCTTGTGAGGGTGCACTTTTAAGTTTAGAAATTTGGTGATATTCTAATAACAATGGTTAATAAGCACATAGATTAAAGGCTGTCTTTATGGGATTTCATTTGTGAGTATTGGGGTACTAGGGAGAAAAGGCCTGTCTGGCCTGTGATTCCATAACTGTAGTGTGTAATATATATATTAGTAACATAATATCGCATTTCTTCAATGATAGCAAATGCTGTGTAATACCAGCATGCAGGAGTGAATTGGGACAGTCACTTGGAGGGGACGCTCAGCTTTTCCTTCCTCTAGAGCATGAGTTCATTTCGAAAAACAGGCTTTCAGGGAGTGTAACATTGTGCGTAGCCAAACCATGAAGGATTTTCTTCTCAAAATATATTCAGCTTCTTTCTTCCCATCTCAATAACTAACTCTCTTCAATCTTTCAGCAGACTAGAATGTTGTTTTTGAATATATATATAGGAGCTATTGCTTGGCACAGAATAGAGATTGTGGCTTCCATA